GATGTAAGGTAACAGGGCAGATGTACAACAACCTCCATTATCATTGAAAAGGCTGTTCTATATTTAAGCAGTAACATCATAGCCATAAGGGCCTTATTGCTTTCATTTGAGTGAGTGAGTGAGTGAGTGTAAACTGTGTGCAGTGATATAAAGAGTCCAAAAGTCTGAGACCATTAACAGTATATTTATATTGAAGTTATACTATAATATCATATAAGTACTCCGAAGTACCGACGTATGAATGAAAGGTTTAATCCAAATCAAGAGTTTAGTATGTCCTCCTTTTTTTACTGACAGCTGCATTCAAGCTGCACAAAGTCCACAAGTGCAAAACTTCCATAAGTTCAAAAGAGCAAGAACATCTGACCTTTTGTAGAAAGTATTTCACATGATCAGATGTCACAGATGACCTCGAAATATTGCATATTTTACATCTAAACTTTTCATTGTATTAAATTTAGTCACTCATATTTGATTTAAGTGAAATTAAAAACAAACAAATTTTCAGTGCGGTTTCAAACTCCACACTACCTAGATGAAGATGTTGTTTCACATCATAGCCGATATTTGTGTATTTCATCACATCTGAAATGTAATATTGAACAATCAGCATCCATTAAATAAACTATAGTCATATTAATTGAATTAACCACAATTCAAATATTTAAATCATTACCATTGATTTAGGGGTAAACTGTTAAGAAATACGTTTTTTCCCACTGACACTGGTTGAGCGCCCAATTCATTAAAGCAATTATGCAAATCAGGTAACGAAGCAAGCATTCCCATAAAATCTATGCTCTTGGCAATCCCGATCCTCTGGAGTGTTAGGTTGTGGATGATGGAGTCTGTGATTTACTGTGATCGACTGGATTTTGGATATATAACATTTCATGATCTATAGAAATTGTGAATGCCTCTAAAATAAAATTCCTTTAGTTTTCCACGAATGGTAATATTGTTAATTGCACCAGGCAAAATAACTCTTTTACAAAGGAGTTTGTGAATAAGGCTCAAACTATAAGCCCAATTTACATAGAAAGGAGGTGCGTTAGTGCAGAAGAGAATGACAGTAAATATGGGTGGATAGTCAAGACGCAGGCTCATGCCAAAATTACTAGTTAAATTGCACCAAAACCCAGTTTTCCAAATGTTTATTCTACATATGGCATTTGTAATGCCAGGTGGAACGTAAAAGAACCGTCATCATCTTCACAAACACGAGTGAATGTCTTTTCAGGCGAAGCAATCGACCAGAGGAGAGAAATAATTTGACTCTGAATGTGGATGTGATTCAGCAGTGAGTCAGTAACATGCAAACACAAACCATGGCTAATCCCCAGTTAGACCTATTTTAAGTGGTATCTGTGAGAGACACAAGTCTCCTCCTTGTTTAATGAGGTGGTTTTGAGCAGAAGAGGCATTTGGAGCCATGCAACATATACCAAAGAACCAACATCTGATCAGCGTTAATCTCGCCAAACGAAATTACTTGCAAAAATGTTCGTTGATGAGGGATTTCTTGATTGTTAACCAGGCAAAAACTATGGGGACTAGTTAAAAACATACTGAGTAACAGTGGACTAATAATGTTTTAGAACAAGAGAAATGTAGAAAGAATCAACCTAATCCAAAGAACAATGTTCTATATTGGCATCATCAATGGTTGCAAGAACCTTTAACATCCATGGAACCTTTCCAATGTAAAAAAAAAAAGGTTCTATAGTAGAAAAAGTTTCTTCAGATTATTAAAATGTTCATTACAATAAGAAAAAAAATGGTTATTTAAAGAACTGTTCTCTGAAAGGTTCTGTGAGGAACCAAAAATGGATCTTCTTTGGTATTGTTTCTTAAATGGTGGGTCACGACCTAAAAGTGGGTGGCAAGACCGTTTTGAGGGGGGTCGCGGAGTGTGTATATAAAGAGACAAAACAAAAAAAGTTGTTCTAAAAGTCACCCTAAATAAAAGTAATTCAAGTTACACAAACACAATACTAGTCTACAAGCAGTCTGCTCAATGAACAAATGCACAACTTAACCAAAACTAAGTCATATCCATGTAAATATGCTGCTGACTATTCATGTTTAACTTGAACGTATGCACCGTTTTCAAAATGTGAATTATTTTATAAGTAAAATTCTATTTTCATTTACTAAAACTGTCATTTCAGAGAGAGTACCATCAACAAAATAAATAACGACATGAGAAATTATTGAACGTTTTCATCAAAACACAAACTGTAACTGTCTTGACTTTATGAAAAATGACTATTCAAAATTGAAACAGCATCTGTTGCTATACAGACTGATCTTTTTTGGTTAAATAACATGATCATTTTTCTCATGTCTGTGAAATCAAATACTCTGCAATATAGATGATTTCATTTGTTAGTTCTGTGCATTATGACTCTGAGAATGTACTGACATTTGACGCAGTACATGTTGTAATTTCCTCTCTTTCCTGGCAGCGTTTTTTAAGGGCCCAGTAATTGAACCTCAGGAGGCTAACTTGCAGAAGCTTAGAGGTGTTTTTAATAACTGCACTTACACAATCTTTTAATGCCTCTAAAACCACCTAGTGACTTCCTGTTAGCAGGTCAGAGGAAGAGAAACACTCACTAACCACTGCAGTATAAACAACACAAATGTGCACCAAGTGTACGCTTCAAGAATCGCAGATTTATCTAGACGACACATTTGTATTTGACAGATACTATAAATCTGCAGAACTGAACTCATTTATCTAAACATGCCAAAGAGGAAATGGACTGATACCGATCAGCAAGCATCAAGTGTAGTATTGCTTCACTTACTAAGCCAAGTAATTACCAAATGCCATGATGTTGAATCAGCTTTTTTTGTTGTTTCAAACATCACAGCATGATAGTTTTTAAGAAATTAATATTAAATTAGAAAAATAAATAAAAAATGAAAATGAAAGAAATAGTACAGTATATAGTGGGAAACACTTTACAATAAGGTCTCATTTGTTAACATTAGTTTGTGTATTACCGTTTTTTTCAATCGCTAACAAGCGCTTACCCATACTTCAGATACTTTTTCTAAACTCTTAACACAGACTCACACCTACAAAACACAATTGGCCAAATGGTTAATTTTCTTCTCAAAAACACATTTTGTTAAATATATACTAACTCTTCATTTCAAAATAGAACACATCTTTCTCTGCACACACTAACTTTACCAAAACACTGAAAATCTGTCTCAAAATGAAATTATTCTGTCCAAAGAATAGCACTTGTTTTCACTTCACATGGTACATGCAGTCAATCAAAGTACACCAGGTTTCAAAATACTGGCTATTGTTGACATTACAAAAACTGCATAGACTGTTATGTTTCAGTTTTACAGGTATTTGCATGCAAAACATGCAATCCAACCTTTTTACACTAAATTTCTTGGTTGGGAACTGTATGTCCACATGTACAGTAATGTTCACATTCAAAATCATTCTAGTAAAAAGCAAATCAGTTTTTTTCCCTTATACTGTTTACAACAGGAGGTACAGTAGAAACACGGTATGATAGAACACAAAAAGTTTTACAGTATTGCTTACAAAAAAAAGCACAAAATTACTGTATCTAATCTCTGCGATCTTCAGGGTTAGGCCACATGTTTTCATCAAATGTTGCACTTCTGCACCTCTCACTGCATCTCTCACTGCACCTCTCACTGCACCTCTCACTGCATCTCTCACTGCACCTCTCACTGCATCTCTCACTGCTCCTGCACCTCTCACTGCATCTCTCACTGCATCTCTCACTGCATCTCTCACTGCTCCTGCACCTCTCACTGCATCTCTCACTGCATCTCTCACTGCTCCTGCACCTCTCACTGCATCTCTCACTGCATCTCTCACTGCATCTCTCACTGCTCCTGCACCTCTCACTGCATCTCTCACTGCATCTCTCACTGCATCTCTCACTGCTCCTGCACCTCTCACTGCATCTCTCACTGCATCTCTCACTGCTCCTGCACCTCTCACTGCATCTCTCACTGCATCTCTCACTGCTCCTGCACCTCTCACTGCATCTCTCACTGCATCTCTCACTGCATCTCTTACTGCACCTCTCACTGCATCTCTCACTGCATCTCTCACTGCATCTCTCATTGCACCTCTCACTGCATCTCTCACTGCATCTCTCACTGCTCCTGCACCTCTCACTGCATCTCTCACTGCATCTCTCACTGCTCCTGCACCTCTCACTGCATCTCTCACTGCTCCTGCACCTCTCACTGCATCTCTCACTGCATCTCTCACTGCTCCTGCACCTCTCACTGCATCTCTCACTGCTCCTGCACCTCTCACTGCATCTCTCACTGCTCCTGCACCTCTCACTGCATCTCTCACTGCATCTCTCACTGCTCCTGCACCTCTCACTGCATCTCTCACTGCATCTCTCACTGCTCCTGCACCTCTCACTGCATCTCTCACTGCTCCTGCACCTCTCACTGCATCTCTCACTGCATCTCTCACTGCTCCTGCACCTCTCACTGCATCTCTCACTAGGGGTGTAAATCGGGGCCTTCATGACGATTCGATACGATACCGATTTCTTAAGCCAACGATTCGATTATTTTCGATACTTCAAAATTCCCCACGATACGATTCGATTCGATACGATTAATACTCGATATTTTGAAATGATATCTATTAAGTTTCAAATAAATCAACAAAGAAATTTATATTTTGCCTTTTATTAAGAATACAGAAACAGTATTCTATTCACAGTGTGCATGTTGTGCTCAAAGCATTGCAAATAGAACAGCAAATGTAACAGTTACTGCATCTACAGTTACAATAAAGTGCCATCAGATAAATTGTAATAAGAACAAAATAAAAATAATTAAGTCTAATACTTACAGTGCAGGTCTACTATGGCCAATTAGCCTATTCACTGTTAAAACAAACAAACAAAGACTGACCTCTACAGCCTAAAGTTCAACGTTTTTTTTTTTTTGCATGTTTTGCATCTTATTTAGAGGTAATGGTCACACATCCTCTGCAGTAGATGAACTGCAAATAGAACAGTTACTCCACAAAATCAGTTAAAGTGCAATAATAACAAAAAGTAACAAAAGTCTAGGACATAAGCCTACAGCACATTCACTACAAAATAACAAAAATGCATTTGTATTTTAGAAGAATGAGGTATTTAGAAGCATGGCTCATGGCTTGAGCTATAGCAGGGGCCTTGCAAATAGAACAGTTACTCAAAACAGTTTAAGTGCAGTAAGAATCAAAAGTAACAAAAGTCTAGGACATAAGCCTAAAGCCCATTAATGGCAAAACAACCAAAAAACAAGGAGACTCTACAGTTCAATACTCTCAGTGGTGCACTTTGACAGATTCTTCTTCAAGAAAATCAACTGGTCCACATGCTCAGAAGACAATACACTACGCTCTGAACGCACAATGTCCCCTGCTGTACTAAATACACGTTCTGATGGTACACTTGTACCAGGAATGCATAAGTACGTCTTGGCCAGGTCTGCCAGGAGAGGAAACTCAGCCTGGTGAGCTCTCCACCAGTCTAACACCTTACCATCTAGGCTCAAAGATGCAACATCTCTGTACTTCCTAACTTCATCATGGGCTTGTTCTTTGGATGTTTTGCCTCTGACACTTGGGTCCTCAGTGCAGAAGGAGTCACCAAAAAGGTCCTCCAATACCTTTGATTTCTTGGAAACGGGGGGGCATTCTAGAATGGCACAGAAATAAAAAATAAGGCTTGATTATAGTTATGTGTTATATATATATATATATATATATATATATATATATATATATATATATATATATATATATATATATATATATAAAATTATATGTAAAGCATATATATATATATATATAATTATATGTAAAGCATATATATATATATATATATATATATATAGATAGATAGATAGATAGATAGATAGATAGATAGATAGATAGATAGATAGATAGATAAAAAGATATAGAAATATCAAGTATGTCTACAATGTATGAATACATACCTTTAGTGGTTTCTGCATCACACACCTCATTTAGCTCCAAAGAAATCTGGTGAGGAGAAGAGTGAGGAGGCTGGGCCTCTGGGGCTTCCTCAGGCTGGGCCTCTGACTGTAACACAGACAAACACATACACATAAAGGCAAAGTTATTATTAGTAATAGCTAGAGTACTCAATGGAACAACGGGTTCATCAGTATTACTATTTAACTACTTTTTAACTATTACTATTTAATAGTAATCACTATTAAATTGAATTAAACACCATCCATAACTAAATGAACCAAGATGAGAAACAACCTACCCTCTGTTCCTTCAGCTGTGCCGCTTCTTCCGCAAGATATTCAAAGGTTTGGTTTCTTCTCTCATCACCCAGGAAAGGAAGCTTTTTAAATCGGGGGTCCAAAGCAGCTGCTCGAAGTAAGAATGGTTCTTCGTCCACATATCGCCCTCTAAGATCTTCAGACATGAGTCGTTTCATGTCTTTGATTAAGGCGGAGTCATCCGGTACATATTCGAAATGCGCCAACAACTTTATTCGGAGAGGTGCGATGATGGACACAGTGGGTTGCTTCTCCTCGCACATCAGAGTGGTAGCAGACTTTAGCGGGGCTAGCAGACTCACCATTTGTTCGGCAGCCAAGAGATCACTTTCACTGAGTGTGTGCACGTCACACGAGCCTTTTCTGACTTTCTTGTCGAGAAGTGTTGCCATCACCGCAGCTTGTTGTTCAAGAAATCGCTCCAACATCTCGAAAGAACTATTCCATCGGGTTTTCACGTCTGCTTTGAGCTTGTGGTGTGGAAGCCCGAGCAAACCTTGCTTCTCCTTCAAAACAGTGGTCGCAACTGCGCTGCGGTGAAAAAAACTCACAATTCTCCTCACGCGCCCTAAAAGCCGTTCTGTGGCAGCAATCTTCAGGCCATCTTGTGTTGTCAGATTAAGCGTGTGCGCGAAGCACTTTATATGTGGTGATAAGCCTGCCTCTTCACCAGCTTTGATCATGTTAGAAGCGTTGTCGGTTACGAGAGCCGGTGCCTTGTCCAATATACCCCATTCTTCACACGCGCTTCTCAGAACCTGCCCGATATTAACTCCTGAATGAGTGTCTCCCAAAACACGAGTCTGTAAAACGTGGTTTTTCATTTGCCATTTGTTGTCAATGAAATGACACGTTACAGTGATATAGGACTCCGTTGTGCATGAAGTCCATCCATCTGAAGTTATAGCTACTCGCTCTGCACTCATCAGACCCTGAATAACTTCATCACAAACTTTGGTGTACAAGTTCGGAATATAGGACTCGCTAAAGTGTTGCCGTGAGGGGATGTTGTACCTCGGCTCAAGAACTTCAAGCAGGTATCTAAAGCCTTCGTTCTCTACGACGCTATAGGGCCTCATGTCTTTGCATATAAAAAACGCAATGCCTTTGGTGATGTTTTTTGCTCTTTTTGAAGTGCTCGACAACTTTGGAGCAAAAAACGTTGCCAGTGATTTGGCGGGCGTGGAAGCCTGTGTTCTTTCTTTAACGTTACACTCTGACTCGCCATCATCAATGCCATGGCGCCTTTTCAGGTGTGCGGATAGATTCGACGTATTGCCACAGTATCTTATCTCAGACTGACAGCCTTTCTCTTTGCAAACGGCAACATCTCTTACCACTGCTCCTCCATCGGTTTTCCTGAAGCCAAAATGCTTCCACACCCATGACTTGACGCCGACTGGAGTGTGTAACAATTCAGTTTCATTGCCAGCTCGCTGTGATGGTTCCATTGTTCTATAAAGTCAGACTCAACAATGTGTGTGAACGTGAAACGTAAGTAACGCGTGTGTGAAGTACAACAATAATGAGGTTAGCGCCACCCGCAGCTTAGGAGTAGGTTGCACGCACATGTCGGAGCGGATGCTGAAAATAGACAGGCGGCAAAATAAACACATTAATCGATTCTCTTGCGGACGCATCGATGCATTGAATCGTCGGCTGTATAATCGATGCATCGATGCGAATCGATTAATATTTACACCCCTATCTCTCACTGCATCTCTCACTGCTCCGGCATCTCTCACTGCATCTCTCACTGCATCTCTCACTGCTCCTGCACCTCTCACTGCATCTCTCACTGCATCTCTCACTGCTCCTGCACCTCTCACTGCATCTCTCACTGCTCCTGCACCTCTCACTGCATCTCTCACTGCATCTCTCACTGCATCTCTCACTGCACCTCTCACTGCATCTCTCACTGCATCTCTCACTGCATCTCTCACTGCACCTCTCACTGCATCTCTCACTGCATCTCTCACTGCTCCTGCACCTCTCACTGCATCTCTCACTGCATCTCTCACTGCTCCTGCACCTCTCACTGCATCTCTCACTGCATCTCTCACTGCTCCTGCATCTCTCACTGCACCTCTCACTGCATCTCTCACTGCATCTCTCACTGCACCTCTCACTGCATCTCTCACTGCATCTCTCACTGCACCTCTCACTGCATCTCTCACTGCACCTCTCACTGCATCTCTCACTGCATCTCTCACTGCACCTCTCACTGCATCTCTCACTGCATCTCTCACTGCTCCTGCATCTCTCACTGCACCTCTCACTGCATCTCTCACTGCATCTCTCACTGCTCCTGCATCTCTCACTGCACCTCTCACTGCATCTCTCACTGCATCTCTCACTGCATCTCTCACTGCACCTCTCACTGCTCCTGCTATTCTCCCTGGGCCCCTTGCTCTTACTCTTTCTCGTCCAGACATTACAGTGTTTGTCTTTTTCTGTTTCTGTTTCCAAAAACATCACTCCTCAAAGTCCTAATTACTGTATAAGTGTCAATGTAATAGAAAAAAATTGGGTAATTTTGGGTTGGCCCAATTTACCCAACATAAATCAGCTGTGTGTCAATTATTCAATTGTTTGTTTATTATTTTGCTGAGATATATTGTTTTTGAACTGATATAATTGCAGAAGCAGAGGTTTTTATACTGTATCTAAGGTTTGGAATATTGTTTTTGCTATTGTGGGATGGTGTGTGTTAACATTCGCAAATACTACAAAAACAATCCATAATTTTGTTGGGAGGTATAACTTGTCTGTTAAGAAAATGTAAGCATTGTGGAAATGTGTTTACTGATTGCATATTGTGTGAAAACGACATGAAATGTGTGAATGGTATGGCCACAATAGACCGATGCTGTGCTAATTGTGTTTAGAGTTTTGAAAATGTGACTACTGGTTGGACAAATGCTTGTTAGCGACTGAAAAAAACTGTAACTAACATGAACGAACTATTTTACAGTATTTATTAACCTGTGATGTCACTTTATGAAAATGTTGGTAATACTTTACAATAATGTTCATTAGTTAACATTAGTTAATGTATTAACTAACCTTGAGCAATACATTTGTTACTGTATTTGTTAATCTTTGTTTACATTAGTTAATAAAAAATACAGTCGTTCATTGTATGTTCATGTTAGTTCACAGTGCATTAACTAATGTTAACAAGATTTTAATAATGTATTAGTAAATGTTGATATTAACATTAACAAAGATTAATAAATGCTGTATAAGTGCAGTTCATTATTAGTTCATGTTAATTAAGGTAGTTAACTAATGTTAACTAATGAACCTTATTGTAAAGTGTTACCAAAATGTTAATTCACAGTGCATAAACCAAAGTTAACAGACAAAACAACTGATCTTAAGAAATGTATAAATGTTGAGATTAACATTAGCTAAGATTAATCAACGCTGTAGTACTGTTCATTGTTAGTTCATGTTAACTAATGCTAACATTAAACCTTATTGTAAAGTGTTGCCATAATGATTATAAAGCCAAGTAGTCAGATAGGAATTAGTGACTATTAGCCGAAAAAGGAAAGTCAATTCAGAGGCAGACACTGATAAATGATTTTAATAAATCAAGCACATTAAGTCCAAGAAAATGCATTAAGAAAGAAAGTGTACCAATTGTGAGCACCATATTGACTTTATGCATTCATTATCTCTATGCAAATTGCGAGTTCTTGGTTTCAACTTGATTTGCATTTGCTTTTACAGAAGAATACTTTTGTACGAGGCAGCGAAAGAACAGGTGTTGGAAGTTTTGGAAAGCTTACAGTAAGTTTGAGATGATGGTTCTGCTTAAATGAAACGCTGCATCTGAGCCTCAAACGCTGCTGTTGTCATAACAGTCAGTGCGCATTTTGTATACTGTCACAGCTCAAGAATCAACAGCTTCTGTGCAGAACACCAGATCAATCACAGTTCAGTACGCAAAAAAATAAAAAAAATAAAAATGCTAGAAAGACGACCAACCACAAGATGCGATTAGTATGAAAATCCTACACCCATTGAGGAAGCAAGGATGACTACAGTCAACATCACATTCAACCTGTCATTTGTCCACTGTATGTTGACAAAGAGGAGATGAACGTTGAGAACATATACGTTCAGGTCCATCTCAGAACCTTCAGAAGTGTCGTCTTCACATAAAAAAAACACACACACACACAAAAAAACACAGCGAGTCAATAGCTTCTGAGAAAGCCGTTTAAAAGCTAATTGAAACAATTTTCTCTTGCTGCAGGGGAGGCCAAATTACATCTTCTTTGAACTGCAAGATTGGGAAAATGAAATTCTTTGAGTGAACTTAAAGCAATTGCTCAGAGAAAAGGCAATCGCGAGAGAGACAGTTGTAAAGCAAATGGCCATTTCTCTGTCATTATTGTGTTTTACATTACACTTTCATCATATATGACACCAGGCCTACCGCTGCCTTTTGGATATCTCAAGAACAATAGCAACTTAAAAAAAATATTGAACTGCAAAGAGAAGTCATACAGTGACTCTATATGTAGAAATAGCTATGTAAAGTGATATTAGTGGAATTCAATTGGGGCACAAGGCATCACGTAGACAAGGTACGCATCCCATTAACAACGCTGAAGGCTACTCAAAAGTTAATGGGGATACGACGGGACAGAGACATTTGCATTTAAATTGGAACAACTTCCAAAATCCTATCGACCCACAGGAGTCGAGTGGTGGAGAGGATGGAGTGATTGTAGAGACAGCATCAATGTGAATCCACTCTGAGGGAGGATAGAAAGACATTCATCTATAAATCCTCTCTAGAGAGCAACGGATATACTACTGACTAAGAAGCACATTGGTGCACCATTCGTGTCCACGTCTGTATTAAATTACAAATAGTTTTTACCATCATGGCCCCGCTGTTGTCACAGACAGCTTATTATACCTTTTTTATACAATGCTTTAGGTAATGCTTTGAAAATTCGAATTATGAGCTAATATGTATCATATATAAAAATAAACAATATCCAAAATATTATGTGAAATATATTGACCGGAACAGTAAATTGTCATTAAAAATATGTTTTGCTATAATAATTATTATTATTTGACTTCAAAATATATATAAAATATTATATTAAATATTTGGTCTGGATATATTTATACAGGTTTGGAACAACTTGAGGGTTAGTAATGACAGAATTTTCATTTTTGGGTGAACTGTCCCTTTTATTTTGAAGCTCCCCAAAGGACATTCTTCTGATTATAATTAACTTTGCTACTACATGTCAACTTATTCAACTAACCCGAATCCCTAACAGTCTACTAATTCTCTATTGAGAGATAGCAAGTGAAAGCCCTCTTGCCACATATTGACCTTTTCAGGCCAGGCTTGGTGTCTTCCTCAAAAGATCCCACTAGTAGCAAATGTGTGTGGAGGCCCCTGGTAGTCCAAGGCCTCGGAGCACAAGCACCAATGGCCCCCAGAAACCCATCCCTTATTCTTACTTCACCCTAGACGACTTCTTTTCTTTCTTCAGCCTTCCTCATTTTTTTATCTGAAGTCTTCCAAGCCACTTTTTTTTCTCCCTCAAGTTGCTGTCATATCCAATTGACTGGAAGGCACAATCATCCAGACCCGCAGATGGTGTGCTGAAGAGCAGCGGTCTCTCTTATCTCTATCACTCCTGCAGTTTTGCAGGGACACCCGTCACCAATGAGACATTCGCTCGCTTTGACCCAACTTTATCTTGCCCCCACTGGACCCTTCTCGCCATAGCCGGTTGTTTGCTACTCTCTTGAAGGCAAATAGTGGCTTCCAGCTAAGAAATGGACAGAAATACCTCAGGAGCCCGTCTGTATTAAAGGACAGGCTGAGAGGACCAAATGATTTGATGTGTGAGATGGCCATTAGCATATGGTAATGAAGTGAGCTGTTGCACTTATGAAAGATTATTGCCATGTGGAGGGAAAACACATTGCCGTGCACCGCTCTGGGACGTTAATCAGATTTAGATTAAAATAATATTTCACCCTTATGTCATTCCAAGCATTTGTTACTTTCGTGTAGGACAAAAAGCATCAGAATCATTTACTTTCTATAGCATGTGGACAGACAGTCCAGTTTTTTTTTTTAGAAGGGAGTATCATTTCAATGGGCGGATGGAGACAAACCAAGAGCAGAGTGAGCCAGGGAAAAATAGCCAAATAACGTCTCCATTGCTCTCTGCTAATGCTTTTCTCTAACTGCCTCCATCTCCGCCTGTCTATGGGCTGGTCAGCTTTCTCTCTCTCTTTCAGTCTGGTCAAACCTGCCCTGATAAACCCTTACAGACACAAGCCACGCTCGGCAAACACTGCGGACTGCACATTCAACAGCCAGGTTATTGAATTACAGCTAACTTTGGGATCTATAAAAACATCTCTACAGAAATAAAGGTTATGTTGCTTGCATACG